CACGTACTATATATATCCCGTATATTTTTTTTATTCATTTATATAATTATAAGAATGGATAAATGACCTTAAAATTGTGCACCCCGTGCATCGCACGGGCTCTGTACTAGTTCCATTTAAGATTTATGGGGCTAAGTGTCAAAATTCAATTTTCCCTTTCTTTCTATTACAATATCACTTGTGAGTTGTTACACATCGTTCATACATGGAAAATAGACCAATCTTATAAGTCTAATGGGCTACTCCTCCTTCCACCAATTGGTTTTAGGATGGAACCCCATTTGGGCTTTATATGACTTTTTCCCGCTTTAGTGCGCTTCATGTTAGTGGGATCGCACCCGTTTTTCCCCAGTTTCTTACACTTTCAAAACCATGTCAGTCAGTACGGTGTTATTCGAGCCTAACTCTAGCCCAGTATATGAGCTCATTTTCGTTTAAGTTTGTCGAAGCTCGGCTCGTTTGATAAACTTAAAGTCATAAAAGAATAAGAATAAATGAATAAACGAATTGTTTGTGGACAAACTTGGCTCAGCTCGTTTAGCTATTCGTGTTCGACTTATCTACTAAACGAATTGAGTTCGAGATTTCAAGAGTCAACCGAGTTGCGTTCGGAAATAGTTCAGATTCCAAATTGATATAAGATGAAATTTCAACATGGGTAAAATTAAAAGGGATGAAGTAACAATTCAATTGACGTTACATCAACTAATTTCATATGAAAATGACATAAAATTCTGTATTAAATTATTATCTATGTTACTTATTAATTCCATTTAAATCCTTGTAAGCATGTTAATTACTTATTAATTCCAGTTGAATCCTTCACAGCATCAGCTGCTCCTTGTGCCTTAGCCATCATTTGCTGACCTGTCTGCAAGATTATTAATTAATTAAATGTGTCAATTTCATTTTTAATATAAACAGAACTAATTATATGAGTTTTTCAAAATTTGGCACCTCTTGAACAGACTGCTTTGCAGATTGAGCCGTGTTGCTAATCTTGTCCATCGCCTGGTTAGTTTTCTCCTGAAAATTTTTAGAGGAGAAAATATAATAACATTATCATAACATTAACTGCATATACTTTAATTAAATGTAAATTATTATATGAGATGGTCTAATCGTTAAGTGGATCGACTAATTGTATATATTTTTATAACAACACTAAAATTGTTGTTAGTTTGGACCTAATAGATAGACAATCAATTTTTTTTTTCAATAAAATATGTATACAATCAAATTGATATGACAAAATTAAATAATAGGAAAATGCTAAGGTCTCATTACGAGACGATACCGTCAGTGTTTTTCACCATTTAATAAAAAAGTAGGATATGTTGTGTGGATAATTTATGATAAAAAAAAATCATGACGGAACTATTCCGTCAACGAGACTTTAGTCGTTCCCTAAACAATAACCTAAAACATAATTGTATATTTTATAGCATATAAGTATGCAATTTTGTTAAAATAAGCAAAGAAGAATTGACTTGTTCGACAGTTAGATCATTCATACAAGAATTTATGTTATAAATGAAAAGGCATACTTGCTATATATGCAAGGTTAATACAGTTTTAGTTACATTATTTTCAAGGCATGACATTTCAGTTTAGGCTATGTTTGATAAAACTAGCTGATAGTTGATTAGTAATTTCTTTATGACTTATAGTTGAAAAGATAGCTTATATAATAAAAGTGTTTAGTTAACTTAGCTAATAAGCTAGCTGGGATAAAAAAATTCAACTATCTTATTTGAAAAGTCACCTAAAGAAGCTTATCAAATAAGTTCGAACTTTTTAGAAAAACTCGTCTTACCAAATTATTTTAATACAAGGAGCTTACAAACTAATCAAATAAACTATAAGCTAGTTAATTTATCTACCAAACATAACCTTTAAATTATGTATAATTCTTGATGTAAATAAAATTTAGCAACGAGTAAATATTAAATACAGATTAAAATAATTGATTTGTTTCACCTGAGTTTGGCCCTTGGCCTCGCCAGCATGGTAATTGGATTTCACCTGATCCATTCCCTTTTTTTTTCGAAGCTTTGATAGAAATGTTTTTTTTACAAGTTTGAAACTGAAAATTAATTAGGGTCTCAACTAATGTTCTTTGTACTTATATTTCACTTATTACTGTAAATGTACTATTTATATCTACGTGAAACTCTATAAATAGCATGTGGTGACCACTTCTATCGGTGTACAATTGGCCACAAACTTGTAATTTAGATCTATAATTAAGGATCAAATACTTTAGCATATTTCTTGGATCAGATCCAAAAGATTTCAAATACTATATAAATCAGTACACATTCGTGTGGGTATATATATGTGTGTGTGTGTTGAC